AATTGTTATTATGTAAAAATACTCAACACAGACATTGTAAGTCAGCTATTGCGCGTCCGGTAAAGTCATCATGAAAATTATCATCATCGTGATTGTCAAAATTTACAGTAACAAGATAGAGGTCTTTATCATATTATGATGATGTGTTCGTAGTTGTAGCAGTCTTTGTAGTTGTTGACGAGAGGCGACCAGACAATTTAGTAGCTCACCGGACTCAAATATGAACGACCAAACTGCTACGTAGACATTTCACTTAGTTCAACACTTTGTATTTTCAACACTGAAAAATAATAATGTTTGGATATACCCGTATATAAATAATTATAATTGATTAGTTTAAGTGATTTGAAAATAAAATATCTTAGAATTCCGTCCTGAAAACTGTGTCATTGTTGAGGGAACGTCGCGACTACAGCACCCTCTACTGCGGCCAACAAACCATTAGTACTCTAATACTGTCGTCACTTACCCAGCCACATTACAACATATTATATACCTTCGCTAACTACAAAATGACAAATGTATCCACGATGGCGTCATTTTTAAATTTACCTTGAATCGAAATATGTTCATTGTTGATGAACGTTGCCAATCACGCAACTACGGCAACACATTGTCCTACAGCTGTGTTGTTGCTACATAGGCCTCAGATCTGTTCTCATAGAGATTATCACCATACACACTCTAAGTTGTTGCAGAGACAATGGTCAGGCCAAGGTTTGATTGATATACAAATTCACCGGCTAGATAAATGACAATAGTATGCCTCATGTTAATTCCATATCCAAATAATACAAAATTTCCAATCGTTCTACAGCGGCTTCGCCGCCGTCTTTCGATGGTCTACTGACCAATGCTATTCGAGTTATTGTCACTCCTTGTGAAAGAGTTCGTCCACCGTAGTACAGCTACCTTACCTATTTCTGCCGTCAAGCAGCAATTTCAGCGTTACTGTGTTCCGGGTAAGGGGTACAGGTGAAATTACAGGCGCATGGGACTTCAAAATCAAAATCAAAATCTTTATTTTATAGTTAAGCATTGTTACACTTGAAATCGTCACATTGATTAAACTGTACCGCTTACTCGTGAGGCAGATTCCCCTGAGAACAATGAGCAAGAAACTCTAGGGGTTACGCTATGTAAATAACATTAGTACGCATTCAACATTTACTAATATTTAACATATATTTTTTTTGCTTTCAAACATCAGAGATCGATAGTACCTCCATGAGTTAAACGGGTTACTACCTTGGATTTTTGTCATCAAAGTACGCAGAAGGTGTATAATAACCTTTAGTATAAAGTTTTTGTTTCACCATAGGTTTAAACCTCGTGAATGCAAATTTTGTATATCAACCGGAATCTATTTATAGAAGCGTATACATTGTCCCTTAAATGAATTTGTCACTTTGTGAAGACGACTATCAAGAACAGCTAGTTTATTTTCATTCCTCGTTTTAATGTTATGTCTGTAACTATTTTTCATAAAGAGATTCCTCTTAACATAAATTACAACTTCATAGATGTACTGTGACACTAGTGTAAGTATAATAATTTCCTTAAACTTGTCTCTCAAACATACTCTGGGGCCCAGATTGTAAATTGCCCTAAGCGCACGTTTCTGCAGGACAAAGATTCTATTGATATCAGGGCATTACCCCAAAGCGAAATGCCGTATGTCATTGTTGCCGTGTGTCAGACTGTGAAAGTAGCTGAAGTAAACCAATCTAGCGGTTTCGACGACTGAAAGTTTCCGTATTTTTTTAATCGCGTACACTGCAGAGCTGCACCGTTTTGATAACTTACTTATATGTGGACCCCATTGCAATTTAGCATGTAACATTATACTTAGAAATACAACTGTATCCACAAGATTCAATTTTTCGTTTCTAACTACAATGTTTGTAACCGTCTCTCTAACATTGGGTAATGTACATTTCACACAATTTGTTTTTTTCTCATTAGGAAGCAGGTTATTAACAGTAAACCAATCAACTACTTTAGATATAGTATTGTTCACATCGTCGTAGGAACATTGGCGCCTTTTAACTTTAAATAATAACGAACTATCATCAGCAAACAATACTATCTCATGTTTAAAACCATCCATGAGGCTAGGTAAGTCATTAATATAAATTAAAAACAAAAATGGACCTAGAATTGAACCTTGAGGGACACCCTTGCTAATTGCAGACCTTGATGATCTCGTACCGTTAACATTAACCCACTGTACCCTACCACTCGAATATGATTTAAGAAGGTCGAGGTCACGTCGCGCCACACCATAATGGCGAAGTTTCCTGACCAGAGTATCATGGTGCACACAATCAAAAGCCTTGGAAAGGTCACAGAATACACTAATAGCCTCATGTGAGTCTTCCCATGCATCAAATATATGTTTCATCAACTTAACACCATCATCGGTTGTAGAGCGACTCCGAGTGAAACCAAATTGTTTAGGATACATTAAGTTATTACTATAAAAATGTGCACACATCTGATTTAGAATCATTTTTTCAAAGATTTTACTAAGTGTTGGTAGTATTGAAATAGGTCTGAAATTGGTGGGGTCTGACATACTACCAGATTTGAGAAATGGAATAACTTTACTTTGCTTTATGAGGTCAGGAAACATGCCATCATCAACACATTTATTAAAGACACAGGCTAAGTAAGGCGGAATACAATCAACTATAGAACTAATTACTCTGACTGAAAGACCATCAAGGTCAGCAGTATTTTTTAGATCTATAGACTTAAAGGCTTTAACAATATCGTTTGAAAATACATGACGGAACCTTAAATTAATAATACTAACTGCATTATTTTCTTTTAGTAAGGATTCAGCGACTGTGGGGGATGAATTTAACGACTTAGTAGTCAAAATTGGAATGTCAGTAAAAAAAAATTTCAAATATTTTAGCAACTTCTGCGTCTGTGTTTACAATTTTGTCATTAAATCTTAGTTCAAAATCTAAGTTACGAGGTTTACTTGTCAACTTATGTCTCAGGGTAACGGGCGCAGTGGAAGTACCCCTTAGATCTTTGCAATTTAAAGCTCTGAGTGGCACTGCAACGGTGTGTATGGGCAGGCGTGTAGCGTACCATCAGGCGCACGACTTGTTCGCCCCGTCCATAGATAACCTCCTAATATATGCCGCCTGTTGAAAATTTTGTACTGGACCGAGCTCACCAAATTCGAAGGAAGGCAAGAGACGCGGGGAATGCAATTAAGACGTTCTGATTTGCTAGTTCAAGGTCGAACTAGAAATGCACTCAAATTGCACTTACAGCTAGTGATGGGTAACCTTTATCAGTCTGTATCCAATTAGGCAATAAATTCTTCCATGCTGATCTGGAAGCAAAAGAAAAGCATAGAATGTATCAGCTGCTTATGATTCCGCGCAAATCGTACAAGCCGACTGAGGGCCTGGGTTTTAATGGTGTCCTATATGTAGGCGACGTGCTGGCACCTGTCACTATTTAGTGCACTAAGTTGTACTAAAATTTCAATTAAAACTTTGCTAATCGTGGCTAAAATGGGCTTGTCTTACTCAAAGCTCTGCCTACCCCTATTGGAGACAGGCGTGACGATAGTATGTATATAAATTATTGAATCACTTACGATAGTAGGATATTTAGATACAGGAAAAAAAAAATTGTAAGAAAACAAGGTACTTAAGTATTATACGTTGTCGTATTTACAAAAGCATAACTAATGAAATTAATTATGACGTTAAGTATTCATAACGTCATAATTGAAGGTTTAGGTCATACAATGTAAGGTGATAGGATAAAACATGATGATAAAACACCTAATCGTAAGATCATAATAAAAGAAAGAGACCTGTCCGAAAGACACCAACGAGAGATCAGTTTCCTTCGTAGTTTTATAGTGTTAGGCATTTTAATTTGACCTATGCGAAACTTATAAATAACGTAGTTATAATTTACCGGTGAAACGTGAGTCCATCTTTTTGAAAGTTTGAGGTCCTGGATGTTTTTCCACGCGATTTCACGGCACAGATAATAATTTTTATAGTTCGTTTCACTAAAACCAGCGTAAGAATACAGGAATATCAGGAGATGCGCACGGGTCTGATAATAATAATAATAATAATTTATTTATTTCGGACAATTTGAATACATCATTTGTTAGATATACACACTTATAGCCATGTTAGTTTTGTAATTCTAGTCTTAACTAAAACATTCACTCACCGCTCTGCGATGCCATTGGAAATCGCAGAGCAGTGATTGATGTAAGGGCAGACAAGCCTATTGGAAATCAATTTTAAGATACTGTTGGTGCCGCCCCTCAGCCGCAGCGCACTACTGAGGCACATCTTTTACGCATTGTTTCGTAAAAACAATTAGATAGATTAGATACTTAGTCGACACTAAGTGACGAATTTTTGCAAAATTTTGTATATGATCAATTGCACGGATGTGTGGTGCGCGTCAGTTGCCCGGTATGCAGCATATATTAGGAGGTTATCTATGGTCCCGTCACTTGATGTTATTAAAAAAACCGGTTTTGCGCACTTTCCGGTAACCGACTTCAATAAGACTTGGCAAATAGATGTAATACGACGAACTTTTAAGGCCGATTTTTTTAAAAGTTGTAATAAAGAAAAGGTTTACAATGTCGATGTCAACCATTTGTTTTGTTTGGTTGTTTTTACTAATGATAATATCGGAGTCTTATTCACGACTTACAACTGCGTAATAAGTAAAAATGAACTAATTAAGTTTAGGTCACTATTCATGATGGCATCGTAATTTATTCCTCTATTTTCAGTTTCATGGTGCAGGGAACCATCGGCGAGTACTAAGGTACTCCCTGTTTGGCAATACTTTCAAGCACTAAAGTGTACGCCATCGACACGATAAGAACAGAATACTTCAATTAATTTCCACACTTTGTAAAATATGGTACTCGCTCTTATTTTCAGGTGTGAAAGATTTGACAAAAATGTTCAAAGCGACAACAAACGAAAACTCTTGGAAACCCTTTTGGATAGAAAGATGATTGATCAATTTGAGATATTTTACGCGGATGGTGTTATTGTAAGTATACTTTACCTCAAAGTGCGAAACTACTGTGCCGTGAGCACCAAAGTACCTAAACGTCCAGTAATTAGACACAACAAACCTGCACCCCGATTCAGAACTCTTCGATATCTGAACCGAATCGTTTCCGAGCTATTCAGAACATTCGAGTTAAACCTTTGATCCGGATTCCGATACGATATCCTTGTCCAACAGCGTTTACGGGATTAGTTGTCGAATCCTTTTGTATCAATTTTTAAGACTCTAAAGGCCTAAAATATATCGATTTCTTTTCATTTTTATTCACAACACCCGAATCGAATGTCAAACTGTCGTATTCGAAACCGAACCGAAATAACGTCACACCCGTGCGAGCTTCTCGACCGGCAAAGGCCACAAACGTTATTCAGAACGCAGTTATCGAATGAAAGTTACCGAACGTCCTATTTTTTAGGAAGCAAGAATGTTATATGGAAATTTCTTATTATTTTCAATAAATTCAGAATTTTGTTCAATTTTATTAATTTATTTTAATGCAAGACTATATTTTAAAAATGTATATAAAAGGATTTTAATTTTTTTTATAATCTAATTCACCGACTAACTTCGTAAACGCTGTTGGATAACGATATCGTATCCGAATCCGAATCGAACGTTTAAATCGAAAGTTCTGAAAAGCTCGGAAACCTTCGATTCGAGAACGATATCCAACCGAACGATTCGGTTAAAATATCGAAGAGTTCTGAATCGGGGTCCTGAATCGAAAGTTCGTTTATAAAGTTTTTATTTTTCCAGTGTTTCAAATTATACTTAGTTTTTAAATTTATAAGGTGCGCCTCACTTCTACGAAAATTAAATAAACTAATTTCAAAACATTCAATATAATTTATATTTGGGCCAATTTCACTTCCTATAATATAACTACGTTTATAATTCTAATTTGATACAATATTCCTATTTTATAGAAGAAAATTACATAAAGCTCATATTACATAACAATCATTTCATATATAGTCAATTTGGATAATTTTTACGTGGTATAATATCACTTTTCATAAATAATAAGTTTAAACCGGACTCGCCTTGGTACTTGTCTGTTCGATACTAGGAACGTAATTTAAAAGCCGGAGGTGCGGAGGGAGAATTGTATTCCGTAATATAGTTTACAATGCTGAATCTTTATTTGGACAAAATTATTGTTGTTAGACACTGTCCCTTGGCGGTTTAAAAAAACAAACGTATTATATATAACATAGATCAAATCTTGGTTGCGGCTCCCATTCATTAGGTTTGGTAAGTACAATGTTTAGAGCACGTCAAGCTTGACACTTAAGGTTTAAATCCAACTCTATGCCGCTTATGATATGAACGGCCCAAAGTACAAAGTGTCAAGCTTGACGTGCTCTTGACTGTACATGAAAAAGCAGCACGAGGCGAGCAAACGGAGCGACTGTGCAGCGGCAGCGGCCGGCGAGAGCCAGAAACGAATTTGTTTGCGTTTCCGAACATGTTTCCAAGGCAAATTATAATTAATATAATATTAAGTATTAGGGATATCGTTTTTCGGAAATAGCCCTATTTCTAAATTTAGATAAAATGACGTTATGTTAACTGTGGTTTATAAGTTATGGCTGTAATTAAAAATGATCGTTATGAAAAATGAAGTTATAGAATGTAAGATTATATTAAAGGTTCGTTATATGAAGTGAATTACTATATTAAATGAGTTTATAGGAAGTAAAATTATGCCAATTAACTTTATGTGAATAATATATTATATGATACATTACACACCCAAATTGATAGGATTATGAGATTTTTTGTTTATAGCCGTAATGATGTTGATAATTTGTACTACAAAAACATTTAATTATAGCTCTCCCAAAAATTAAATTAAATGGAATTGGTTTTAAATTATATTTTAATTGATTTTATTACTTTCAGCCCATAAAATCATTACACGGCGAATTCGATTGCTTTTTAGCCCTATACGATACAACATTATTAAATAGATATTATTCCGTGAGTGTCCATTACAACACTACACGTAAAACAAAATGTCACACCCGACTTAATGTCATGGGTAAGTACTTAAAGCTTAGACGATGGAAAAAAAATAAAAGAAAGGAGGTGCCCTAACTACAGAATGAACGTGCATACCTAAACAAAAATTGAACGAACAAATGGCGGATTTCTTTAGTGTCGTACCATAATCTATCGATAAGTCATTATCGACATGCAAATATTTAATTAAAGTAGATCAATATTCCATTTGGTCATATTTTAGGTTATTAATAGAATATCCGGGAATGTCACATGAAATTTTGAATTTATTGTTTTGCGTTTACAAATACTCAAATATGTGAATTGAATTTGCACAGAAAAAATTAATTTGAGTGTATATAAAAAAGAGAAAACTTTGAAATATAACTCCTATGCATTTCCAACCTCAAGATTCATATTTGCATAGAGAAATTTTAAATAGATTCCAAATAGTGTAGGCTTTTTTGTATTTATGCATTGGTATAGAATTAATATCACTGACTGATTTAAGTGAATCTTTAATACTTCCATTTAATTTTGGAAATAAATGAAAGTAGTAATATTATCTATCGAGTTTTTAGGTTTTTCGCGATTGTTACACATAGGAAATGAAACTATTTTTCCGGATTTAAATCGCGTATATTTGTTTTTTCAAACAAACCGACGTTTCGGGCCCTTTACAGGTCCCATGGTCACGGTTGACTGAGGTGGTACAGTCTTCAACCAGTTATGTCTAATATTGATGCAGACCACCCTATTTTTTCACTATATTTGCAATAGTTATTAATTAAATACCTTATTTTTAATTTTACAAAGAAAACATTCCAATTTACGCTACATTAAGTTTTACAAATTATTTTATTGAATGAATTTTTATTAAGTTTAATTTATTATTAATTAATAATAGAAATTAGAATAAACTAATATATATTAATTAGTACTACAGTCTTTTGTCTGTTTGGGATTTTTCATTAGAGGAAATACTGCATCCCAAACTGGTGGTACGGAGAAACCATCTTCCCTGTTGAAATTAGGATGTTTTTTAATTTCAATGGCCTCTCGCAGCATCCTGGGTAGATAACGGACTTCTTTTGCAAGGACCTGGGGTTTGTCAAACTTCATTGAATGTGTAGGTTTATCCATGACATGCTCGCAGACTACAGACTTCTTTACGCGACGGTGTTTGACATCAGCCATATGTACTTTGACGCGGGTACAAATACTTCGCTTTGTTTGTCCAATATAAGAGAGACCGCACTCACAGTCAAGCTTGTAAACTCCTGCATCCTGTAAGGGGATGTTACATTTCACGGGTCTCAGGAACTGAGAAATCTTCCTCAGGGGCTTGAAATAGTTCTTGATAGATGCACGCCTGAGGATTCTTCCGATGTTGTCTGTAACACCTCTCACGTAAGGTAAGATGGCAGGTCTTCGCTCGACTGATGGTGGTTTCACACGGGGCCTGCAGCATTGGCGTGGAAACTTATAACCATGTAGGACTTGCTTTATATGCTGAAGTTCCCCTGCCAGATGATTACTGTCGCAGACACCATGTGCTCTCTGAAACAAAGATTTGCCCACGGTAGCTAACTGGCTAGGATGGTGATGGGAATTACCATTGAGATACCTATCTGTATGGGTTTTCTTTCGAAATACAGTATGGCCTAAGGTGTTATTAGGATTTCTTTTAATTAAAACATCTAAGAAAGCCAAAGTACCACAATTCTCTTGTTCCATAGTAAATTGGATCTTAGTACTAAAAGAATTAAGATGGTCCAAGAAAGAAGGTATGCTATCTTTAGATAATATTGTGAAAGTATCATCAACGTACCATTTGAAAATCTTCGGCCTAGCTGGGGCCGTGGGTAAAACTCGCTCCTTGAAGTCTTCCATGAAAATATCGGCAACAACGGGAGATACCGGGAAGCCCATCGCTATACCGTCAATTTGTAGGTAGAATTCATTATTCCACAATAGATAGCCTGATGTTAGGCAGTGTTCTAATAATTCTGCGTATTCAATGGACATATTATGTTCCCTTAGCTTTCTACGTACAATTTCAATGCAGTCTTTTACTGGTAGGTTGGTAAACAGCGACTGAACATCAAAACTGACCATGGTGTCATCATCAGTTAACCGTAGATCTTTGATTCCACTAATGAAATGGTATGAATCCTTCTCATGTGTAGAAGTGTTCCCTTTCAATGGTGACAGTACCTTTGCCATGTGTTGAGCCAGTTTGTAAGTTGGTGTGTCAATCTGGCTAACTATGGGACGAAGTGGGGTGTCAGTCTTATGTATTTTTGGTAACCCATACGGTTTTGGAGGGTTTACGCAGCAGGGTACAAACTCACTTACATCAAGTTTATGCGTATCGGAGTGCTTAGATATTGAGTTAGTTGTTGTTTTTAATATCTTGGTGGTTTTTAATATCTTGGTGGTATTAAGGTCTTTCTTCACCTTTTCATACGTGCTTTCATCCTATAGTAAGTCAGTTATTTTGCTGTTATAATCTGACGTATTCATGACTACCGTCGCGTTACCTTTATCTGCACGGAGGATGACTAATTCAGGATCTTCGCGGAAGGTCTTCAGCGCTTTATATTCATCTCGAGTAAGATTCGGTCTGGGCTGTTTATTTGAACGCAATATTGACTTTGTGTTTGATCATTTGACAGTGACGTTGACGTTTCGTTACTTGTGCACTTCAGTTTAAGTTTATTAAATTTTTCAATCTGTGTTTTTTAGGATTGTTGAAATTTAAATGCTGATCGTTTATTTGTAGTTAAGTTTAAGTAATATTATCAATAATAATATTATTATCATACGTGTATTTGCTTAAAACATGGTATAGCAGGAGATGTATCAAGATACTGTTTTTTTTATAATATCAAGTGACGGGACGAGCTAGTCGTGCGCCTGAAGTTACATGCCTGTCCATAACGGTTGCAGTGCCATTCAGAGCTTTAAATCGCAAAGATCTGAGGGGCACTGCCACTGCGCCCGTCACCCTGAGACATAAGTTGACAAGTTCTATGTGCCTGTAACTTCACCAGCACCCTTACCCTTCCAAACCGGAACACAATGTTAGTATAAACATGTTTCGCATATATTAAATGGCATGCAAATGTCTGATTATATAATGTCAATTGACTACTATAGGCCGAGCGCCTTTGATTTGTACAGAAAAATCAACACTTCTCCGAAGTGAGACAAGTAGTCACGAGCGACTGCGAGTTGTGACAAGCCACGATGTATCTATAATTACCAATTATCCAAACCAATTATCGTCGATCAAGACGTTAACGAAAATATTATTTATGAACACGCACAGTTGAAAAACGATGTCAATGATATAACTGATTCTTTAAACTTTCATATTAAGTGTCAAGAAGACTTAAAAATTCGTATTGATACGATCTCTATAAATTCAAAACAAGTCAAGAGTCTAGAATCTGACATAATGAACCTTAAACAGACTGTCAACGATCTTCAAAATGAACAAAATATTCAACAACAAAAGGATCGCCTCTTGAACTTGGAAATTTCCGGTATTCCTGAGAAGAAAAATGAAAACCTCCCTGATTACCTACTTTCTATTGCGAATATAACAGGGGTGAACTTATCCAATGAGGATATTGTTCGTATTTACCGAGTACAGCCCCGTATTCAACTAGCAGGTAGACCTAAAAACATAATAGCACATATGAAATCTCTTCACATAGAGGATACTATTATATCTGGGATACGGAAGAACAGAAGCCTTTCTACAATTGACCTAGGCATACCTGGCGAATCTAGGCAAATATATGTGAATGAACACCTGTCACAGGTCTATAAACAATTATATAAAAATACACGAGATGCAGTGAAGTCTTCCAATTTCAAGTACGTCTGGATACGCAACTGTAAAATATATGTGCGGAAGGATGACACATCCCCAGCCTTTCTCGTAAAGGATGCTAACGATTTGCGGAAAATTAAGTGACTGGTTATAATGCTATTATACTTTTTAATCAGTCCTGTTCACAATCTAATCTTTTTACCGCTAAACTCGACTGTAATTAATTATATAAAACAATACTATAAAACGTATTACGTTATAATTGTGATCACTTTTTTCAATATGATGGGAGTCTCTAAAAGTATACGTATTTATTGTGAGTATTTATTTTTTGGTAATGTATATAAAATATATCATGATTCTTGTTATTACATACCTATTGTACATCTGGTATTATTTATTATATATATACATATAATTTATTTGTCAATATTTATAAATATATACTTTGTACATTATACTATAACACGATTTTTATAACTATGATTCGATCAATTAGCATACATTCGCGTAATTATAATATTGCTGAAAGAATACTGTTTGGAATTAAAATTAAACTTACAAACTCAAAAGAGGCTCACTGTATTTTTTTGGTTTAAACATACATGGAAATAATTCTTAATGGCTGTAGGTATGTTTTACACTTGCTAAAAACTACACATAACGATATTTATTTGGAACTATTACTTGCTTGCACGACCGCTATTGTAACTAATTTATATTACGGTTGCAATCGCTCCTTCAATATGCCACTAATTAATTCAAATTTAAAAAATTCATCTCAAAGTCACTTGTGTTGTTTTAACGCTTACCATGCTGCACTGACACTGACACATATCAATTATTTTTAATATTAGAATGTTTCACTTTAATTAACAACGACTACTAATAGTTTACTAAATCGAAAATTTAATTTATATTATCAGAACTTTAGACATTTTGTTCGCATGCCATACGTGGCATGTATAAAGTTATACAACAACATCTTACATAATGATTTTGATGTTCCGTTATTTATCGAAACATGGCTCCAAAATGATATTCTAGATACAGAACTGTGCGATAGTAGATACGTCATATTTCGCTGCGGTCGCAGCCTCATAGCATCCGGCAAGAAAGGTGGAGGAGGTGTGGTGGTTTGCACTCGACGGGAACTTGGTGCGGAATTGACAAGCGTATGGCAGGCGACCGCGACTTTTGAGACATTATATGTTACGATACCCGGGCGCGTTCTTCACTCTACGTGCATATAATTTTCATTCTAATGTTTCACTTTCATTAACAACGACTACTAATAGTTCACTAAATCGAAATTTTAATTTATATTATCAGAACTTTAGACATTTTGTTCGCATGCCACGTATGGTATGCGAACAAAATGTATAAATTTATACAACAACATCTTACTTAATGATTTTGATGTTCCGTTATTTACTGAAACATGGCTCCAAAATGATACTCTAGATACAGAACTGTGCGATAGTAGATACGACATATTTCGCTGCGGTCGCAGCCTCATAGCATCCGGCAAGAAAGGTGGAGGAGGTGTGGTGGTTTGCACTCGACGGGAACTCGGTGCGGAATTGACAAGCGTATGGCAGGAGACCGCGACTTTTGAGACATTATGTGTTACGATACCCGGGCGCGTTCTTCACTCTACATGCATATAATTTTATTGTACATTAATACAGACCAAGATGTTTTGCCTGCATGTTTGGATTACACTTTAAATAGCGTCAATCAAATTTTAGACAAATTCCCGTCGGATAATTTTCTGCTTGTAGGCGATTTTAACTTACTTTTTATCACTTGGAATATTAATACTAGAGATTATTATATTTCGAACTCTCGCTCAAGTACGTTGACCGACTCAGGTACCTCATTTGTACAAGGGCTCAGTTTCTTAGGGCTATTACAACAAAACTACATCAAAAATTTAAACGACAACACTTTAGACTTATGTCTCAGTAACCTCCCCTCGCACTGTACGCAGTCCATTCTTGAAGAGGACGTGTACGATCGCTCACTTTATATTTCAATTTTGGACATACAGACATCATCTTTAAAAGAATGCAACTCCCCGCGTTTCAATTTAAAAAAATGTAACTATTCCAAGCTTAATTAGTTTTTTGGGAAGATTGACTGGAAGAATATTTTAACAACTGACAACGTAAACGAAGGTGTCGAAATGTTTTATAGTGAATTACATGAAGGTTTTAATTTGTACGTACCCGTTAATACACCGAATACTAATTCACATTATCCTATTTGGTACAGCCCCGCTTTAGTTAAAATTGTCCACAAAAAGAATGTAATGCACAAGAAATGGAAAAAATATCTCAATCCCCGGGATTATGACGAGTTTTCTTTGCTTAGAGCGAGGCAACGGCGCGTTCAAAATCAATGTTTGGATCGTTTCACAAATAACGCGGAAACCATCATTAAGCATTGTCCTAAATATTTTTGGACCTACGTTAAGTCAAAAAGAGGTTCCTCATATTATCCCGAAAAATTTACACTAAACGCCGTGGAGTACTCTAGGGATAGAGATATCACCGTTGCATTTAACGAATTCTTTAGAGATGTTTTCATCACTTCAACCGGTAGAAGTAGCTTTACTTTACTGTCTAACAAACGCGCCGGCACGGAAGTTATTTCTCGTATACACATCTCTGTTACTCAGGTTGAAAAAATGCTCAAGTCTCTTGACAAGAATAAAGGAGCAGGATGTGATGGCATTCCACCACTTCTTCTAGCCTCTTGTGCTGAAAGTCTTAGTTTACCAATACTATCTTGTTTCGTATGTCACTTACCAGCTTTGTATACCCTACGATATGGAAAAGAGCTCAGATTGTCCCTGTACACAAGAAAGGTTCCAAATCATGCATCGAGAATTACCGACCGTTCTCTATTCTTAACTATATAACCAAGATATTTGATAAAATTGTTTACAATAACATTTACAGTGTAATTGCTTCTGGGATTCCGTTAACTCAACATGGATTCGTACGTGAGCGTTCAACTACGTCGAACTTGTCTTTATTTGCAAATTATGTAGTCAGTGAAATGGAAAATGGAGGTCAGGTTGACGTGGTTTACACAGACTTCGAAAAAGCTTTTGATCGTGTGGACCACGACATTCTCCTCCACAAATTGGAGACACTGGGTATCCACGGAGATCTACTTCGTTGGGTACAATCGTATTTGGCCAATCGCTGTAAAGCTGTGGTTGTGGGAGGGTTTAGATCTGACTACATTTTAATACTATCTGGCGTTCCTCAAGGTTCGCACCTCGGTCCTTTTTTTTTACAACGCTTATATTTTTGACATTAATACACAAATAATCAACGCTAAACACCTACTTTATGCCGAAGACAAAAAGATCTACATGCATGTGTTTTCCATTGCCGACTGTGAGCTAATACAACAAGACGTTATCAATTTGTACAAGTATTATATTAACAACAGAATCACAGTTAGCATTGGTAAATGTCAACGCATTAGTTTTACCCGCAAACGCAATCCTGTTATATTCCCGTACCATTTTAACGGCGTTGTAATTGAAAGAACACAAATTGTACGGGACCTGGGTGTTTTATTTGACTCCAAGATGCTTATGTCTTCTCACGTAAGCAGCATTGTTAACAGGGCATAACGAAACCTGGGGTTTGTAACGCGAACATGTCAATCTTTTAAATGTGCGATTAGCCTTAAAGTTTTGTTTTCTGCATATGTCCGCAGCATATTGGACTATGCCAGTCCTATATGGTTATCACACTGCGACATTTACAGTAATCAAATGGAACGCATTCAAAGGAAGTTCTTAAAACATTTAAATTTCAAATGTAGGAAAATTTACTATCATTTACCTTACATCAATATCTGTCGTACTTACAATTTATTGTCTCTTGAGGAATTTATTGTCTGCTCGAGATGGGTCTTTTGTTCGATGTGCTCAACGACAGTCCAATACCGCCCGGATTTAGTGTGTCAAATATACGACTACGAGTGCCTGCGCGACGTACTAGACACACTTGTTTGTTTCATGTACCTTTTCATTCTACAAATTATGGCAAAAAGGATGTGCTCACCAGATTAGTCAGGAGCTATAATAATAATTTTATTGAAGTAGATCCGTTTATAGATAAAAAACACTTATTTCAATCCAAAATCAAACTCCATATTATTAAACGCAAAACGTAGCTAATTGTTAAATTTTATCATAATCATTATGCATAATATTATCAGGAGAATCTTTATGTTATACTTAATACGTATGTGTGCACAATGTTTATGTATGTATGTGAGTTTATACATATATTGAGTATATGTATATACGTTTGTATATCCAATATGTATCATTATTATTACTATTATATCATCCACTTTTACTACTAATTATTCTAGCTTTGTTCTGTTTTGTATCGTCTAAATGTAATCTAGTAATAATAAGCTGTTGTTGTCCCAAATAAAATAAACTAAAATTAAATTAAAAATGATGTTCTTTCGTGAATAGAATAGGAAGTGCATTCCAAAGTCTGATCGCATGAACAGTGAAGGAGTGAGAATACAAACCGTAATTGAAGGAAAGAAGAGATAACTGGGACCTAACGAAAGAGCGACAGGGTTTGTCCTGAGACCTGAGAAACCTGAAACGTTCTTTCAGATACTCGGGAGACGAAGGGTTATGAAGTATATTGTAGAGAACAGAGACAATATGCAAATTCCTACGGAGACGAACGGGAAGTCACTTGAGTTGACTGCGATAGTGTGAGATTCGGTCAAATTTACGAAGGCCAAAGATAAACCTGATACATAGATTTTGCAATCGTTCAAGCTTACTTAACAGCTCTTTTATAGCATCCAAATAGCACGAATCAGCATGGTCTAAGAAGGATAAAATAAGAGATTGGGCTAAATAAATCTTGGATTTAAAAGGTAAACAGTTTAGGAGACGCTTAAGCGAGTGCCAGGAGAAATGTACTTTTCCACTGATTTCGTTATGCCACTGACTCTCTATATTATCAATGTGTGGATTTCAAGTTAGATTGCGAAAATTGGAAAACATTTTGTATAGTGCATAAACTCTTTAGTTACGTCCCAGAAAATTAGATTTCACAAATTAATTTCAATCAAAGACATGTGTGTCTTGTGTTACTCCACACAAAGTATGTGCCTGCAATAATTTGAACACAAAAATAATTCTGCTTTAAAAAATATATAAGAGTTTAGTTGATGTTTTTGGCATGTAAATTTGCAAATATATTTTAATTTAATTTCTTTTTTTAATACTTCTTAAATAGTTTTTAGGAATCAACATTGTTTACTAACAAAACTGGACTGTTTGTCGTCTGAAAAATAAAATTTATTATTATAATAAAAAACTTTAAAAAAATATTCAACCAACTTCAAAAACCACAAACAGTCACGAAACAAAAAATAACAAAATAGAGACTTAATCTAAACGATAACAATGCACGTAATTATTTTTATTTATTTTTGTCTTATTCCGTTTTATATACAGTATTGTAATATAGCTTATTAATCAATCTATCTACATTTATAGTTTATTTTACAATTATAACGTGACGATTCTTGTCCAAACCTAGATCTCTTTATTTATTTGAATTTCCAGTCTCCTGCAAATTTTATCGCTATAGGAAATATAATAAGATAAATAGATATTATATATAGGAAATGAACAATAACAATCGCGAAAACCTAAGAACTCGATAAATATTATATAACCGAAATTTGTAGAGAAGTGAAAAGGATTATATGGTTTACATGATAGATTAGGATTTTCAATAATTACCACTATTTGATAACTTCATATTTTGTTTTATCATCAATACAAAATATAGAAATCAACATCAGCTCCACTATTTCAGGATCACCAAAAAACTGGCCAGTCTCTAACCACAAGACCACAACACCACAAACGGCAGTGACCACATCAGCGAAACCAAAGATGGCTACAGTTATTACGCCAAAAGTAACGCTACAACATACGTCAAAACCCACATCCACTGATGCTCCAAAAGACCTTCCAGCTGTATGGACATACGTGAGCGTAGGCCTGGCCGTGGTCATTGTGGTTTTAGGAGCGGCAGTTCTAATATGTGTTTATAGGAGACAACGGGGTCGAAACACAACTAAACCAGACCCTGAGGTATTTACAAGTATATAGAACATTTATTTGTACTCATATAAAATACATTTATCGTCTATTACACTAAAATATGGATTTTTTTTTTAATTCGTGTTGTTCAATTTTATAGTGAAGGTATTTATTAATTTTCAAATTCGTTATTTCAATGTTAGTATTAATGATCCATGTTTTTTCGACTTCTTAATTTTCAAATATTTTAAACGTATAATACTTTCTCTATTTGCAGCACAACTAAGTCAAGTCAATGACCTTGGAGTCGGTATGTTCGAATGTGTCGACAGGAGCGGTGCCGCTGGAGTAGGCGCATGAGTCAGATTATGTTTCATTTTAAGTTCTAAGCTCCTTAGTGTTGTAACTCCTGTCTCTA